ACTTGAACAAATCTTATTCCTTATATAATCCTTGTTCAAAATCCTCTCAACTCTTCTACTATAATCTTAGCTTTCTTCATACATACAAATCTTTATCTCCTTCACTACATCATATTTACATATTCAAGATACACAACCATATCCATATCCACTTCATATTTGGTTAACTTATCCTGACAATATCTTCAAATCTTTTAACTCCAGACACTTTCCATCACATAACCTTATTAGCCAGCACCAACTCTTTCAATCTAGGGTACGAACCCTTATCAAATCCACATTCTTACTTATACAATACTATTCCCTTGTTTCAAACTCATAAACTCTGGTTTCATTTATCTTATACACTTGTCATTGATGCACTTATTCTATCTTTTAACCACATCATTTGATCTTTTAACATTCTTATGGTGACACTTGTCCACCATATTCTATTTTATCCACGTAATAACGAAACTACTCTATATCACTTTTTCGATTCAAAACAGTGGAGACCTTCTAAAGCTATTCTGACATGATTTCAACTTTCTGAAATCAACCTTTGATCTTACGAGGCACTTTCTGAGGTGTCCGCTCTTCATTCTACCTGGCCAAGGCAGGTGAATTACTACCACCATCAGGTTTATCACCTCTCGGTTCACTTCAACAATTCTCATAATCAGATTTCTACTATACCCTACTAATCTTATTCTATTAGTAAGACAACATACTCCTTAAACTTATCAGATCAGAAATTTTTCACTTTGTGTTGGCATGTACACATTTTAAAACTCATTTGACTTCGGTTTAAGCATAGAATTGACTAAACCTTAGCTCTGATACCATTAAATGTAACACCTCAACCCGTATCCGACCCAGATACGAGTCTGAGATGTCACATTGACTTTTCAAAGCCTTTACTTTTACAATGTGACTAAAAATTTCATTTGACATTTATTATAAAACAATGTAATTTCTATTATATAAAACATATGGTTTTACAAAACCTATCAGAGCTCACTTGATCTAAATCTTTAATTACATGCCAACTAATTTCAATAAAACAAAATACATATAATTCAAAATGCTTTCGATATTAGATGAACAATACCGATACCCCATGCCTAGAATCCAACTTTTTAGCTCAAAAATTCATCCAAACTTACTTATATCTTATACTAGAACCTTCTTTAAGTCCTTTAAACTTAACTACACTTATTCTAATCACCTTAGATCACTTTAATTCATCCTAATATCCAATATTCCATATACACTCTTGAATTCAATAATTAATCCAATTAATCAACGTGTTCCAAATTCACTTCTACTGTTTTTAACTTCTTAATTAGACCCTTGACAAGTCAAATTTCACTTCAAAACTTATTTACCAACTATTTCTCAATATTTCACTTAGAAACCTCTTATTTTTAATCCTTTCTAACTCATTCATCTTTTAGTTTTAAGCCACTTTAAGCTTCACTCAAGCTTTCTTATCATCTCAAGAATTAAAACCAACTTAAAATGTTTGGTATTACCATTATACCCTTTCCACTTTCAAAATTTGCTATTAACTCCAATACCAAAACTCTCCAATTAAGTCCCTAAACTTTTAATCTTTTCTGAGATTGGTCACTAATTATCAAAAACTTTCATTTTGGTCACTAACCTGACTTTTGGGATATTACACTATAGGTTTGGTAAATTCGAAAATGTTTGGCATTGTTGGCCATCGTATTCCCCTTGGCTTTACTATTGATTGGATTGGTATTAATGCTGATTGGACTTGGTCTGAATGCTCATTGGAATTCGTTTGAAAACTGATTAAAAATCATTTGAATGATGATTAGTTTTAGTCTAAATGATGAATTGATGTTTGTTGGCTGACTGTTGCCTTGTAAATTGTTAATGTTGGTGTGATAGAACTGAAATGTTGTAAATTCTTATTTAATTAGTTACCCATTGTTAAATTATGTTAGTGTTATTTTGGCTTTTAAAGCTAAATAGATACTCATAATTTAATCATGATGGAAGCATTTAGATATTTTGAAATAAACAAAAGCTCGATGAAGAAATTTTTGGTAGCAAAGTCAGGTTTTCAGCCTTGTAAAACTTTTGCTATAAGATCTGAGAATTTAAATTTCAACGTAAATTTATTTATTTAATTTAATTGTAATTATGGTGTATTGAGTTGTAATAAATTTAATTTGCACATTTATACATTTTATTAGTTTCAATATTTATAAAGTTATTAAATTTTTAATCTCATATTCTAATATTATCAATAACTATTTAAAGTAAATTTAGTAATATAATGATGATAATTACTAATTTATTTTACATTTATTATTAATACAAACTCATTAATTTAATAAATTTTTTGAATATATTTATAGGCTACAATTTATAAGTATAAAAAGTAATTACATTAATTCAATTATGTCACATTGTAATATTAGAAAATTATAATTTTCTAACTTTATTAATTATAACTTACAAGTCAAGTAAATATCAAGTCAGACAATTATCAATTCAGTTTAATAACAGGTCGGATCATTTACAGGTTAAGTTAATTACAGATCAAGTTTATAACAGGTCAGGTTGATAACAGATAGGGTAATATCAATTATTTGTCGGATTATTCTTGGGTTCGGGTTCATGTCGTTGTAAGGTCGAATGCGGGTTGTAAATTTCCGGGTCCAAGTCCAACTGGGTTCAGGTCAACACTAGTTCAGACTCGAATCGGTTTCGGATCATCACCATCTCAGGTCACAAACAGTTTTAACTCAAATTGGTTTCAGTCGGGTTAGTTTTTTTTACATCCCTAGTATAAGCATTCAGTTTCAAAATGGTAGAGAGTTATCTTTGAATATATACTACATTGTACTTATCCCATATTAATAAAAAAATTACAGTTATTTTATTTATTTATAAAATAATTAAAATTAGAAAAAGAAAATAGAGAAATGAATCTTTGATTTTGTCCTACTTTGGTGACTGAAAAATGATTTTATGGAACAATACTATTACTCGCAGTAGCTCTAGCAGCGGTATGAATTTAGTATTAATATTTTTAATTGTTGTTATTTTTATAATTAAACTCCTTTCCTTTTCCTTTTAATTCCATTAGACCATTTCAACTGAAATGCTTGTGTTTATTATGCTTATGCATTACAGTAGAGTATTATATATTTTATTCACTCTCTCAACTTTACTTAACCAGGAGATTAGGGTTTATTAGTGGATATTTGCACATAATAAGTTGTTAAACTTCAAAGAAATTAAGTTTTTCTTTTTCTTCTATGATTATGATATTAATGTGTTGTATAAAGCTTGGCTGGTTCATATTTGACTCGTTCCTTTGTGTTGGGAGAGGATTATGAAGCCTTTGCATTGCTTGACCATGTCAAATACTGCGTTCAATTATGATACCAGATAGATACGCAATGGTTTTTGTATACATTTTGGTTAAAGTTTTTCCTTTTTGGGTGGATAAATGAATTTGCAACAGTTTGGGAGCTAATTCCACCTTTCAATTGCAGAAATGAAAATCCATTTTGTTCCTTGTAATTTAAAGGAAACAAAATAGGATGATCAAAATAAAAATAAACCAAAATTATAGTATATGTACATAATTTTCGTAATCATTTGATAACTACTCTCAACTATTTGATAATGAATGTTCAGTCACCCTTGTAGTTGTTGGTGTTTGAACTCATGACCTCTAAATACAATAAAGATTCTTTTAACCGTTGAGGTAAGTTGATTTATACTTGCAAATATAACTACTTAAATCCAGGATCTCTAGAACAATATTATCTTTTCCCACATAGACTATTTGATATATATATATTGATTAAGCTAAGGTAATTACAAAATAATATTTGTGCTAAATACTCTCAACTATTTGACAATGAACACTCAATCACCATTGTAATCGCTGGTACTCAAACTCATGACCTCCAGAAATAACAATAATTTCTTTTAATATTGAGATAATAGGTTCATGCTCAACTTATTTATATATTTAAAGTGGATTTAGATGGTAAATGAAATTATTTTTATTCAGAATATTTGCATATTTTATAACGCGAGTAATAATTTTATCCTCCAAAAGTGAAATTAAGCACAATCAAAATTAAAATTAAGTCTAATCCTAACATCAAATCTAAATCCAAACAAAAATAAAATCGCAAGCTTAATCCTAATACTAAACCCGAAATCCTTTGATCTAAACTACCCAGAATCCACAACAAACCATACTCGACCCAAATTTTAATTCAAATTGGGCCGATAAAGTCCTTCTCCTAATGTGACTCTATGATCGACGACTTTGATGAACGATAATCGGTGCGACTAACATCGGGTTGAGTCTTTCAGCCGATGGTCAGAAAATTAGAGAAAAATTAAGAAGAAGAAAGAACTAAAAATCTAAAATGAAATAAAAAATAAACAAAAACCGGCTTAAATACCTCAGCCTATACGTCATCGTTTTTGGCGGTATAACCTTTTTTTTACGCGAATCAACCAGATTTGTCCATGCTCGCAAGGATTCGCGCCTCAACTACGGAAATGGGGAGATGAGTTTCTAATCCCACTGTTTTTTCAACCTTTCAGTTAGGTCCTCAAATCAGAATAGGTTAATAAAATCTTGGCTTGATGATTCTCAATTTGTTTTGATTAGATCGTGATCTTAATAATTTGGTAGATTTTCGACCCCAAATATATAAAACCTTCAAACTAGGTCCTTACATCAGAATAGATTAATAAAACCTTGGTCACCTAGTTCTTAATCTATTTTGATTTAGTCCTACTATTGGTATAATTTTTGATAAATTATGGCCTTTAAATTTTAAATGATTTCAATTTAGTCCCGATTTGGTATTCTAATGTTTTTAACCATCAACTTCTGATCATGTTTTATTTCAGTCCATGTGCCTGTTTCCTTTTGCAGGTTAAATTATTTATTTGGCTCAAAAGGATTTTCCCCCCAAAAAAATCACGATTCAAAATTGTTCCTTGTCTAAAGACAACGTTAACAAATCATCTTATTAACACACGCCATTAGCAGTTTTTCTTAAGCAAACCAACCAACAAAAAAAGAGCACTATTTATGGGGGGAATTAAAAAAAAGAAAGGACAAAATATTGTTACAGCACAGGAACATTCAATGAGACAAAACAGGCATGACAACCATATGGACCCTGCACATAAGCACAAAAGACATCATTTCGCATACAAAGGATTAAAATGTTCATCATGCATCAAGTAATTCATGTTGCTGTCAGATGAGACGCTATAAAGCGGCAGCAGCAGCAAGAAGGCTTCGCGAATAAATCGTTATGCATAATCCTAAGCACGTATAGGCAAGTGGGACCGATAAAAAATGATAAATATGAATCAAAAGCAGCTGGCACCTTAGCTGAGCGGTTCAAAAGACACTTGAGATTGGCACAAATTAGGGTTCTGCTCCGCTTGAGCTCGGATATGTTGAGATCGCTAATGAATGAAGTCAAGCTTGAGATCATATAGGCTTGTTAATAAAAATACATAATCAAACTTATTAATGAGCCAAACCGGTACATGACAGAGCTCAGCTTGACTTATCGCTACATTCCTCAAAAGATATGAGAAAGAGCATATAAGTTAGCTCATTAAACGAGTCAACTAGTCAAGTAATTGTGGCTCTTGCCATCTTTAGTCAAGTAAGTCCCATTAAACAAGTCCTATTCATATCAAGGCAATAGTGTCCTATAAGAGAGAAAGGGAGAAAAATAATGCATAATCAGTGGCTGGCTCAAACACAAGAATAAACGTCCATGAACCATGTAAAACAAACATCTTCTAACAGAAGAAAAGGAATTTAAGTCCACAATTGTTTGATCATGGTCCAAACCTAAGATGTAAATGGTTTCATCTCCCACAACTGTAAGTTTGTGACAGGAAATGCTTGTCCTTGCGCATAAAAAGTCCTGGAGATTCCATTTCTATCCAACACTATGTGCAGATTTTGAAGAATTTGTAGCAAATAATATGAAATAAATAGCATGGAAAAGCTTTTGGTTCTATTTTACTAAAGAGTAAAGCCAGCTATGAATGCACATATCTACTATCTATGGTAGGAGAGAAACATGCAACTACATGGCGAGGAAAGGGTGGATGAGAGCAAGCTTTACTTGAAGGGATACTATTTACAGTTTGGGATAGGGCATCAAGTTCTACAAAATATGCTGATAATCATATAAATAACCAATTATGCACTTCCTGGGGTATAAGGATTGCTGTATAGGCATAAGAGAGTGTTACGGTTTGCTTATAAGCAAGATGTAAATTTGTAGCAGATTCTGCCTTTTGGATGAATTTTTTTTTTCTTACCCAAAGTAAAAAAGAACTAACTAGATTATTTATTATCCATGCTCAAATATTACATGAAAGGACCGCGTACAAGCCTAAGAATATAAAATGTTCAATCTAAGATGAGAAGAAAAATGCATCTTCAGCATTCTCAGGTCAAATCTACGCCCAAAGTTGGGGATGGTGAACTTAATTGCATAACCAAACTGGCAGCAAAAAAACTTAGAACTATTTTTATACGATGTTAAGTGTAGTGAAGCCAGTTATAAGCAAAAGAGAACATAAGGCGCTCTAAAACTTCGAAATATAGAATTCCCTGCAGCAAAGAACGCAAATTAATCAAAAGAACAGATCAGAGCACTAAGGCACTCACAGTTCTAAATGCAGAGACCACAGTATGTTAACTCAAGAATCGCCCTTGATTTCATCTGAATCCGAATCGCTTGCATTATAACCTAAAATTACTCAGAGCAAACAGCAAAAGCAATCAACTATAAATTATCAGTTATTAATTACAAGGTAATGAAGATGATATTTATAGAGGTGAACCTGGACGCTTATCGCTGACTTTCCAAACCGAAGACCGCAGTCTCGATGCCCTTGTCATCCAAATTCTTCCCTGCAATTCCAAAATACCAAAGCAAAACTTAGAGACAATGAGAAGCTTAATTGGAAGAAACAAAATGAGAAATAAGATTAAGAATCCAAAACCATGGAACCTAAATTCTCTTCATCTTTAATCAATTTTAAACAGCAAAATAGAAAATTTTCTATATTTAACGCAAATTCTTACATTTTCCGAGGCAATCAGAATAGCAAAGTATAAACCCTACACCCCACAGGCGGAACCCAAACAAAATGAAACAAAAAGAAGAGGAAAAGAGGGGGGGAAACAATAATAACTTTTTGGGCATCCCGGGGAACCCCATAACCGCTATAATACATTTGACTGACAAGGACTTGCATGTTAACATCCCCGGCTTTGGCTTCCTTGATAGTGTCTTTGAACCAACGCTTGAGGCAATCGGAGACAACCTCGGAGAGTGGCAGGCGTTGACTAGCGCTGGAGCTCTCCATCTTCTTCTTAGGATTGGATTTGTCTTCGCTTATAATCCTCCCTGGCGGAGGCGGCTGCTGCGTCGGGGGTTTAGCCTTTTTCGCTGCGTGGAAAGCGGTGACTTTGGCGAGCTGCTGAAGCTTGTTGGTTGCGCCGGGCAGCGATTTTCCCATAAATTGAATTTAAACCTAAGCATAAAAGCTAGTGAATAAGTCATATGTGTCTTAATAAACAAGGCAAAATAAATTAACTTTTTGAGAAAATACATCAAGGTCATCATACTATATCGAAACGATATTGTTAGCCATCCAACTTTCAAATGTTATACACCAATGCCGCCATGCACTGCAAATAATATTAACTAGGTCATTGAAAGCAAGCTGCAATGGATCTATACAGAATTGTGGCAACGATGTGAATAAAATTCGATCCAATTCAAAAAAATGATTTCTTTTATTTTGAATGATTCAATTGAATTATTCGTATCAATTTAACTTTTAATTTTAATATTTTAGTTTGACATAAGTGTCGATTAATCAATCTGAAAAATATTTTACAATTTAGTCATTGATTTCTTTATTTCTTAAGTGAGATGTCAAGACGACTAGAACTGGGTCAATCACAATGAAAGCAGGCCATAGCCTTAGCCTTGAATGGACCATTGATTTCGATTCCGAGTATTATCAGACTCAGGCAAACAGATTGCTTAACGGTTCCTCATTTTTTTCTCATTGTAGTTAAAAAAGGTTGTATTTGGGATTCGACAGTAGCTAAGATAGATGTAAAATTTTATGTTTAGGATCGAAGGCGAGGATGCTCGACAATTCCTTGCTGGGCTAACTGAAAATATAAGCAAAATATCAAAGCAGGCATCAGTTCTTTCATCCATGAATCAATTGTTAAGAGAAATCAGGACCATCTGGGGTGAATCTCCTACAATACTATATTATATGCTTCATTGCAAGGTCAGGCTCCAATCTAGGCCAATGGGCTAACAACGCCACAGACTCAGGCAAGGAAACTACTTTTAACATTATACACTAGTACCGTTTTATAAGAATAGGCTATTATATCTTCTGGGCTGGGCATTTCTAAAAACAACTTGTGGGATGAACAACACCGAAAGAAGTTCCACCAGCGTGCTTACATGAAGCTGCAGCTACCTCATTCTTATACGTAAGACTCACCCCTTCCAATCGTATTCCACTGCATGGATGGCTAGAACTGCAATCGAAGTTTACAGAAACCTGCGCCGCCGACGTCCCGTGTATGTCTCGGTACATCACGTCGCTAACTTTAATTCCCGAAACCTGATCCGGACAGTTATTGTTGCCGGGGCAGTAGTTTTGGTCGATCACGATTGGATTCTGCACGTTCTTCATGGTAACGTGTTGGAAAACAATATTCCTAGCAAAACCATTGCTGGGCCTGGCCCAAGATTTTATCCGCACACCATTCTGGGTACCGATGAATGTAGCTCTTTTGACGGTCACATTCTGCACTCCAGCCTCGTTTTGGTCCTTTCCCAAGCTCCCGATGCTACAAATTAACAAACAATGTTATATCAGAATATGCAAACAGTTTCTTTTATGTTGATGGTGGTGGTAGTTTTTGCCTGATGCCGTGACCAGGGCCGCATGTGATTTGCTCCATCCAGAGATTAGTTGCACCCGGGCCGATCGACACACAATCATCGCCTGTTTGAATCTTGGAGTTGAGGATGGTAACGCCGCTCGATAGTTGTACATGAATACCGTCGGTGTTGGGGCTGTTACCGGAGGCGGTGACCGTCACTCCTTGCATTTTCACATTCTGGCAGCCGTTGATGACGATGTGGAACATCTGGCTGTTTACCGATGTTAATCCGACGACGACGACGTTCTTGGATTTGCTAAAGCTTAGTGACTGCATTCACAAATAAAATAAAATGTAAGAAAAATAAGCGCAAGATTAAAGAGGATAACCAAGAAAGCTTATAGTTGGTCAAATAATGGTTTGTCACTTTACTAAGCTTAAATTTGAAATTTAGTCATTTTATTTCAATTTAGTATAATTTGATCATCTAGTCTATTTTTATAATATCATTAATTCAAATAACCAACATCATTAACTATTTTCATTGAAATAATGACACTATTTTAAAGTTTTTTTTAAAAAAAACATCTCTTTGACTCATAATATTGACATGCTTTTTTCTTAAAAAAATGGATTTTTTAGAGAGAAAATCAATGTAAGTATTTTAACTATATGATTTTATTTTATGTCAATAAAGAATAAGGATTAAATACCAAATATTTAGTATAATAGAGGGAGCAAAAACTAAATTTTAACCAATATTTTTGTTGAAACTAATTATCTTTAGGGTAAATTATATATTTAGTCACCCAATTGTTCTTACAATTCTGTTTTGATCATCCAACTATTTTTTTCAAAATCATCACTAAACTTACATTTTTGTTCTGTTTCGGTCACCTACTGTCAAAAAATTAACTGGGATATTAACATGTCGATATAAGATAGTAGTGTCACATTATTATTAAAAAATTAAAAATTATCACGTCATGAATTCTATTTATATTTTTATCAGTTGGAACAAAAATTAAGTTTAAATATGATTCAAAAAAAACCGTAGTGGCCAAAACAGATAATTGGATGACTAAATTTTAGTCTATAATTTATTCTGAATCAATGTAACGGAGAAGAGATATCATGGCGGGATTCAACTCACCGTCGCACCGCTGGGGCAACTCTTGCCAGAGTTTTTGCAAGCTCACAAGCCAGTCCCCTTGGCATCAAGTTTTCCACCAAAGATCGAAACACCATCAACATCCTGAAATGCAACCCAGCTGTCGGCACTCGGCATTTCCGATAACCCGATAATCAACCGGAGCCACGAGCGTTCCGTTGATCCGTATCGTGATAGCTCTGTTCTTGCATTGACCGCGAAATTTCACATTGCGCAGCAAAAACATCCCTCTGGGCACGTAGATGCTCGCGGGGGCCGTCGAGGCACAAGCCTGAGTCCATGCAGCTAGAAATGCTTTGGTTGAGTCGGCTGAGCCGTCAGGTTTGGCACCGTAACTCAGCACGTTGAGTTTCATTCCTGCAGAAAAAGATGGCTTGATGAAGAGAAGGAGAAGTGGGAGAAGAAGGAGGGGACGAGTGGTCATATTGTTGAGAAGGATGAAGTAAACCGAGTGATGTTAGTAGTGGTGATAATGGGAGTTGAAGCGGTTTGAGTTTGAGTGGAGACCCGAGGGAGCGATTTATTTATATTCGATTATCGTACTAATAATAATATACTTTGTATTAAATGGATTAATTACTGATTAGGATTCATAATTAAGCAAGCTGCGCCGGAATGGATTTCCAAGAGTTTTCTTTTCTAGGATATAAAGTACACTAAAAGTTACAAACTATATTTAAATAATTGTTAAAATTATTAAATTATTAGCACGAGTCCCGTGACTTAAGTGATAAAAGAATTATTGTTATTTTTAAAGTCTCGGTTTGAGCACTGACAATCTCAGGGGTAAGAACGATCAATGTCAAAAAATTGAGAGTTATCTTTGAACATATACTACATTGTACTTACTCTATATTAATAAAAAATTATTAAATTATTACAAATAGTTTAAATTACAAATTAAACAAACAAATCTATTTAACATATAAAGACGGACGAACAAAGTGATCTCAGTAATTTAAGAATTTGTTGTTATCTTTTGAAGTCTCAAGTTCGAGCACCACTTATATACGAATATGAGTGTTCATTGTCAAATGATTGAGAGTAAATACTCTATATATTAACCTCATATTTATATATATATATATAATGAAATAATTAATTAATCGTGAATATGAGTATTTATTGTACTACCCTTTCGGTACCAATTAATTTGTCGGTTGTCTTAATCGCGAAAATTAAAATTAAAATTTAAAAACCCGATTTGAATTGCTTACCTTTGATCAATTGAAATTACTACTGAAAAACGTCAAAAATATGTTAGATGGTAAAATAAAAGAAATATCGAATAAAAATTAACTAAATAAAAAGAAAAATAAATAAATAAATCAAAGAAGGAAAATATATAAAAAATGTTATATATAAAAATGTTAAAAGAAAAAACTAAAGAATAAAATGTTAAATTTAAGAGAAAAAATAAATAAATAAATAAATAAAATGTTAAAAGAGAAAAAAATAAAACAAAAATGAAAAAGTGAAAAAGTGAAAAAATAAAAAATAAAAAAATAAAAAATGTTAAATTTTAAAGAAAATATAAAAATGATCAAATTGAAATGAGTTAAAATTCATGGATCAAATTAATTCCAAAAAATGGGTTGTGGGAGAAAAATAAAAGGTTAGGGGACTTAAAATAGCAAAAACATACATTTAAAGGATAAAATTGATATTAACATAAACTAGAACGACCTAATAAATAGATATGAACAAATCAGAGTCTCGATAATCAATTTAAAATAAATACAAGTACCAGAAACAGAAATAACCCATAAATCCTATACAGGACTAAAATAAAATAAACCTGAAACATAAAGGATCAAACAATAATTAAACCAACTGCCCAAACAATGACTAAAATAGAATATATATAAATTACAAGGTCAAATTTGAAAATCATCAAACATAACATAATATATAAATTAGTGACTGAAATGAAAACATGGAAGCATAAAGGCTCAAATTAAAATATCAGAAAGTTGCATCAATATTTAATTGGCAAGATTACAAACAAGGGGACTAAACCCACCATTTCCCCATTGTTTGAAAACACAGAGAGGGGAAGACCCAAAACGGCGTCGTTCTGGTTTGATTATTTAAGCCTAAAATGAGACTTTTTTCTCTCTCTCTCATTTCTCCTCATTTTTCCACTTTCCATAATTGAAGAGAGAGAGAGAGTTGAGAACTCTCTCTACTTCTCATTCTCCGGGCGAAAATTGGCCATCGCCTCCAGTGGTCGGAAAAAACCAAAACTCTCCAAAATACTCTCCTCAACACCCTGATACCAAATATGGCCTCGAAACAACAAGATAACCTATAGATTGGAGTAGATCTAACCTAGAAGTTTCGATTTTTACCCTTTTTGGCGAAAAAAACCCTCTTCGCTTTCTGGTAACCCCTCCTCTTCCGACGCTCATCGAAAGTTATTGTTTTTGCTTTATGTGCTTTACTCATTTTTGGTTGTTGTTTCTTG